GACCTATGCTAAAACTCTTTTTCTTTTCTTGATTCTACGTCATCTCTTGCCCAGGGTTTGCTGTCCCTGAATTTCATGTCTCTTATGTGTCACTTTTATCATATTTTGACACGTGTTTTTCAACTTAACTCTAAATTAACACTATTAAATTTTTCATAAAATTAATTATATTACCCAAAATTAAATGTTTAAAAAACCAACAGTGAAATAATTTAGACTCCCGAGCACACACGACACACAACCCCATCACCACTGTCGCTCCGCCTTACCGCCGGCAAAACACGTGCCAAAATTACAAATAAACGTACCAATTAATTATTTTTGTAAATTCAAACGTGTCTGCAGATAATATATATATGTAATGTATTGTACCTAATAATAATTCGTCAACAACTATACTTTAAAAAAAACAGCAAAAAAAAATATAATTTCACAAAAAATTGAAAAAATTACACGTAGCTTTTATGTTGATCACCATCTATTTGAAAAAGAAAAAACCATTTGGAAAAAGAAATAATATTAAATGTTTGCATAACAAAAAAAAAACTGTGATCGAAAAAATATAGTTTAATTACTAATATCTCCACGAAATAAGGAAAAGTGCATCATGCAGGTAAAAGGATAAATTCAAAAATTATTTTAATTTTAAAAAATAGAGGTAGGTCAAAGCACTTTAATCAAATTTTAAAAGGCACATATGTTTAATCTAAATGATATAGAAAAACTGTAGGAGATACCAATTTTCCTAATAAAAATGACAAAAAATTAATTTGGGTCTGAAAAATATTTTAGCACATAGTTTAGTCTAGCACTGTAACAAACACTTCATTATTCTTATACTGCTTAGTCCAAGCTAATTTAGTCCAGCTTAGTTCCTGAAACTAGTCAAACCAGAAATAATCCAATGTAACAAAGGCACCCGAATTGAAGATGCAATGGAGAGGCTATGACTGAAAAGGAGATCTTGCACAATATCATGTTTGTGATGGTCGCAGGTCATGAAACTCTTATATGTTGTGCTTACTTTTCTATTGCGACTTCTCGCTCTACTGACCTCGTTGTACATGCAGCCTTCTTCAAGGTTTGCATAGTGCCAAACATTTGAGGGTTTTTATTTACTGCTAGGCCGCTATCATTAATTATTCGAGAGATGATATTAAATTCTTCTTGAATTTGTGACTAATAGAGCAAGAAGAAATAACTAGAAGCAAATCCTCTGAAGAGTTCCTGACATGGGAAGACCTTGCCAAGATGAAGTACACATGGAGAGTTGTAATGGAAATGATGAGGATCCTCCAGTCTTTGGTGGGAAAGACATCGAGTTTGATGGGTTCCTCATCCCCAAAGGGTGGTCTTCGTTCCTTAAATTTGCCATGGGCCTTGCGGGCATACCGGGAATTTACTCAAACATGAGATTGGTGGGTGTGGGCATGCCACTACTAGATGCCGCTAGTAGACGGGTTTTGAATGATTGAGGTTGCACCTGAGATTGACTTCAAACCAAGAGATTGTGTCATTGAGTGGGAGTGGCTCAAATTAAGGTTCTTTGTTTGCCTGAAAGATAAGGACTTTACTTATATGGAGAGATTGAACAATATGTAAATGGCAAGGTTGCTGGAAATGTATATGACAGAGGAAAGTGAATGACTAATATTGCAAATTGCTTGTAAATTAAATGATTGGAAATGAGTTGTACATAAAGACTACAAAGGAGATCGATACTACTGGAGGAGTAGCAGAGCTATTAACCTAGACAAAAGATGGCTTTTGTGAAGGCTGATCTTGAAAATGATTGAGGTTGAGGGCTGACTACAACTTCGTATGCAAATCTGGCTTGAGCAGAGTTTGTGTATTTGTTTGTTTGATTGGTTGAGTGTCCATAATCCTTGTGCTTTTGCTCCTTTATATAGAGATCTAAAAGAGCCCTTTGCTGAGAACATTGCACTTGCCCCAAAGAAGCTTGGCCAGATTGCATGTGAAATAATATTTAAAAAGGGAAGTTTGTATCTCCACCACATGCTTTCACCACATGTCTCCACCACTTTCAATAAACTAACATTTAAAATAAGCAAGGTGGCTTTTTTCACATGTTTTCTGCAAGAATGTCTGTATGCTGCCTTCCAATCCACTTAAAAGCATGCATTTGTCTTGATTAAACAAATCTCTTGGCAAACCTCCACCACCCAAATAATAAGGAAAAACAATATTATAATATCCAACTCTTCCACTTGCAACCAAACATCTCTCCAAGTTTAATGTTTTGTCCCATTATCCTCCAAATGTCATATTTTACCCAAATGGCCTAAATAAGTAAAATGGTGCACATTTTAGGTGCAAACAGGTGGCAAGTAAGTTAAATTTACCTTCCCAAGTGAATTAGTTATTGCTTTCGTTCTCTCATTGTCTTCCAAAAATATAGACTAGATGAAAATCCTAACATACAATACTTTCAGATATTTTGGGCTATTCCTATGACCCATATGGAGGCTAACATATTTCCAGAGCCATCCAAGATTGATCCGAATAGGTTTGGGAACCAAGCATCAACTCCACCTTACAGTTTTGCTCCATTTGGAAGAGGACCTCAGAAAATGTCCGGGATATGAGCGCAATCCATTATATGGTGACTCAGATCACATGGAAGCTATGTGCAGATAACAACTTCAGTAGAGATCCCACGCTAGTACCTACTCAAGGACTACCCATAAAAATCATCCCAAGGAGAGCTTGTTAACTATTAAGATGTTTTTGTAAGTTTGATATACGTTGTCGGCCCATTCTCTTACAGATTAAGATTTTGGACCATGTGGTTATCCGATGGTGTTATCAAACTTAAATAGTTATAATGCTTGTTTAGAATATTGCTTGTTTTGAAAGCAGGAATTAGATGGATGGATTCAAATGAAAACTCATAAACCATCCTCACGCATGCAACAAGTGTAGCCAGTTTTTACTCCGATTTAAATCGTTGAGTTGTAGGAAACAGAGAGAAAACCTCTTCACTTCGAAACTGAGACAAATCTGAACTGCATAAAAAATTCTTTGTTACTTTCTGCATAACGCTGTTAAATCTTCCTACAATCTTCTTCAAATCACTTTTAACTTACTGGTATTAGTCCGTTTGTGCACCGGAGGCATGTGGAACTTGTGTCGATGTGGTCAGTTGTTTAGGGATACCAGCTTCATAATCTCACGGACATTTAAATGTTAGAAACTGGCTCTGTCAAAGATTAGCAGATGTGATATATTCTCCTTTGAGCAATTTCTCATGAATTCAAGTAATACCTTGCTTGTTTATTTAGCCCAGTTGCACTCTGCTTGTTTGGAAACAGGAATATGTAGATGGATGTGAGGCTTTATTTCAGTGGGGAACTCGTTTGGTGGTTAGGATTGAATTGGAGTGTATAATTCACCGTATGCAGTGTATGGATTAGCCGTGAAGGAAACTTCTTGTCCACCTCAGTAGGATTGGAAGAAGTACTTTTGGCCATACTCTCTAGGGAATCAACCATCTCGGTTAAACCTAAATTCTAAAAACTATTGTTTTACATTAAACTAAACTCGCCCTTCGCCTTGTGTTTGCCAATTGACTTTCTCACTTACTGTCCGTTGTAGGTTGTTCTGTAGCATTAATATTTGGAATCTCAAAATTTTCACCAAATGTAGCCCTTTGCCACCACGTGCTAACTTCTGTCACGTCCAGTCTTTGTCAATAACAACAAAGCCTTGTTCCATTAAGTGGAGTCGGCTGTATGAGTCATAGAATGCAACTGTACTCGTTTTTGCACCAAGTCTTCGGTTAGTTCCAAGTACTTCATGTCTTTTTTTATCTCTAAGGATTCCATCTCAATTCTTAACTCCGGGCCTTATACCTAAAAAAATATGAAATCATTAAGGGCATCAATGTGATGGTGACCAAATATCCAATGACCAAGAAAATCTAATTTGTCTCATACTCTGTTTTTTACTCTGATGGCAAAGATTGTGTCTTCATGCATTTGGGGTTTATGATTCATCAAACCAATCTCTTGACTAGCCGGACGGACATTGCCATGAACTGATGTTTTTGTCGTCTTGCATTTGTTATAGATCATCAAATCAATGTCTAGAGAACTTAGACAAACTCACAGTTCGAAAACTCCAAATCCTTAGAAAATTAAAATGTTCTCCAGTGTATGACATACACCAGATGAATGAAAGGTTGGATCTGAGGCTAGAGGCGTATCCATGGAGAGACCATGGTGATCCCAGGACTCTTCGGAGGCCGGAAAAACACCTATGAAGGTCCTCCGGGAACTCTCCAAATGTTTCAACAAGGAAACCGACCTACACCTAGGGTTATATACGAGCTACATCCAGGCAGTTTGTTTATTTTGTTAAACGATATATAGTTGTCCAATCGAGCTTCTAGTGCATGAAGTATCCATGGAGGAGACGTGAAGTTACATAAGCTATCCCGCAAAGAAGAAGACCCATGCTAAAACTCTTTTTTTCTTGATTCTAGGATGCTGTTTCTTTTTTCATCTTACTAACTTTAAATGAAATGAACCGTCTCACATGTCATGACCCACAATAAATATGGGCTAGCATTCCAAATAGACTTAAAGACTGATGAAGCCCTATAAGTTGATCTTTTATTTAGATAAGCTAGAGAGTTCTTAAAGTATTGTAAGAAAAACCTGTTTTATTTTCTTTCTCAATAAAGAATAGTAAAGTTATATTTTATGACCTAGCTAAAAATGACGTTTAGGTAGACTTTGTAATTTATAATGCTTTAATTATGAATGAAGAGTGTTATGTTTTAATTTCTCAATGTTATTTTATCCAATATTTTTTTAGGACCTTTTACATTAGGACCCTCGAGATCAAAATCTAAATCTGCCACTGTTTGCCGCCAAGACTCCAAAAACCAAGGGCGGCTAAAGATCCCCGATGACTACTAGAAACCAGTGCGTACTAATCAAATGTGTACCAACAGATACAAAACAACAAAGCATTATGCTGTTATATCACTGCACTACGAACAGCTAAAACTTATCTTCCAATCCAAACCAACCATCTTGATTTTTGCATTGTTATCTCCAGACCTCCCTTTACTGGACTCCTATTTATATCGAATTCAATTGCCTTTGATCCGTCACTCACTCTCTTGCACAACAAAAGCCACCCGAATCATGGATGCCCTTGTCCTCACAGTTTTCCTCTTCCTCATCCCCGTCTTCTTTCTCCTTACAAGAAGAAAAAAATCATCAGAACGGCTTCCTCCCGGCTCATTGGGACTACCCATTATAGGTCAAAGCCTTGGTTTTCTTGGAGCCCTGCGTGCCAACACTGCCGAAAAGTGGCTTGAACAAAGAATCGCAAAGTACGGTCCAGTTTCAAAGATGAGTCTCTTTGGCAAGCCAACAGTCTTCATTCATGGACAGGCTGCCAACAAGTTTGTATTCAACAATGATGGCACATCATTTACCAGTCAACAACCTGAGTCTACTCGTATGATTTTGGGCGACCGGAATATACTGGAACTGAGCGGCGAGGATCACAAGCGTGTCAGAAGTGCTCTTATGCTTTTCTTGAAGCCCGAGTCACTGAAGCGATATGTTGGAAAAATGGATGAAGAAATCAGGAATCATCTTGAGATGCACTGGCATGGCAAGCAAAAAATAACAGTAAGTTAGCGTCCTCGGCAACTTTTGGGAAAAATATACCATGACCTTGTATAGTTTGGCAACAGGTCATGTTTTTGCAGATTTCTGTCGTGTTCGTGTTTTTTGCAGATTTCTGTCATGCGGTTCAAATTTACTAGGTTTTTAAATTTTTGATAGGTTTTGCCCCTCATGAAGAACCTCACATTCAACATAATATGCTCTCTACTTTTTGGGGTTGAACGAGGACCTCGCAGAGACAAACTCATTGAGTGTTTCCGACATATGATAGAAGGAATCTGGTCGGTCCCTGTTAATTTGCCCTTCACGCGTTACAACCAAAGCCTCAAGGCGAGCAAGAAGGTTCAAAAAATGCTCAAGGAACTCGTATGTGAAAAGAGGGTACAACTTGAGCAAAAAACTACTTCTCCACTCCAAGACCTTATAACCTGCTTGCTTAACATTCGAAACATTGACAACGAAGAAGAATTAACGGAAAATGAGATCCTACACAATATCATGGTAGTTATGATCGCAGGATATGACACTTCATCTGTTGTGATTACTTTTCTTTTGCGGCTTCTAGCGAATGAACCTGCTATCCATGCAGCCGTTCTTCAAGGTATGCATAACGCATCCCGTGCCTACAACCTCACACATAACTATTTAACGCAAATCTAGTATCGAAATTGAAGTGTTCGATTTACCTTATTCGGTCTGATCACTAACAAGTTGGCATATTCGTGATAGGGCATATTAATAGAGTTGTCAACAATATCCAAAAAAAACAAAAAGACTGATGCAATGTTTTAATTTTTGCTTTTGCAGAACAAGAGGAAATAGCTAGGAGCAAGTCCTCAGGAGAATTTCTAACATGGGAAGACCTTTCCAAGATGAAATACACATGGAGAGTGACAATGGAAATTCTGAGGACGACTCCGCCCGTCTTTGGCGGCATGAGGACGGCTATCAAAGATACCGAGTATGGAGGATTCCTCATCCCGAAAGGGTGGCAAGTAAGTTAAGATTTAATATATCATGCAGTATGCACATCTACAGATTTCACATTCCCATTTCTTTCTTTTTTTTAAATTACAGAACTAGTCATGAAATTTCTAACTATATATCCAATATTGTTAGGTATTCTGGGCTATTCCTATGACACACAATGACGGTAGTATATTCCCGGAGCCATCAAATTTTGATCCAAGTAGGTTCGAGAACCAAGCATCAGTTCCGCCTTACAGCTTCGTTGCATTTGGAGGAGGATCTCGAATATGTCCAGGATACGAGTTTGCCAGGATTGAAATCCTTGTTGCAATCCATTATATGGTAACTCAGTTCACGTGGAAGCTTTGCGCAGACAACAAATTCAGCAGGGTTCCCATGCCGGTGCCTACACAAGGACTGCCTATTGAAATCATGCCAAGGAAACCAATGAATTAAGTAGAGGTCGATTTGATATTATGATTGCGATTTGAGATAAATGTGCACTGGAGTAAGAGCTCGCAGTTTGTTAAATAAATAAAGAAACCCACAATAATTCACGATTTTCATTTATTAAAATATAAAAAAAAAATTGTAACATATACATAAACCACTCGCCTCGATCGGTAACTGAAACCTCAGCATGACAAGCTATCTACCGAATCCCACCAAGACAGCCAACTACTTTCTGTTCTTTCTTTTCCACTCTCTTTATTTCTTTTCCCTCCCCTCACTCTCTGCGTAAGCACTCTTACATTTCATGCATTGCATACTGGTTCACTCTTACTTGGTAACAGTAGGAACTACACATAGGGAAATGATGGCGGCAATACTAGATAAGTCTGCTAGTTTGAATGGATAAGATTCAGCTAGAAAATCATTAATTGGTGTTGATGTAGAGCTTGTTTAAAAGTACGTTTAAAATGACTAAAAATGCTTCAGAAAAAATATTCACGTGTTTCCTTTAAGAAGCACTTTTTAGTGTTTTTTTTTTTTTTATGATTTACTTGCATTTTTACTAAGGATTGGTTCCAAAAATATTTTCATCAAAAATATTTCAGCCATTTTAAAAGCACTTCCAAACGAGCTCATAGTTGTTGCTTAACTTGTAGATGGCTCGTTTGGATGTGCTTTTAAAATGACTAAAAGCGCTTTTAGAGAAAATGTTTTTAGATTCCAAAAGCACCTAAAGTGCTTTCTACAAGAAGCACCAGTTATGTGCTTCCTCCAGGAAGCACCTTAAGTGCTTTTCTAGGGTTTACTATCTTTATTAAAGATTGGTTCTAAAAAAAATTCACCAAAAGTGCTTTCAGTCATTTTAAAAGCACATCCAAACAAGCTTTATGTAGTTTGGTTGGTCCAACATAAAGTAATAATGTATATGTCCTGATAAAGTTTACAACTCCATGCAATGTAGGGTTGACATATCAAACTCTATAGATGAATTGCTCCAAACAAACCACGACTAAATACTAGCATCCAATACTCAACCTTGCTCACAAGGCATATATATTGAAGACATTTTGGAGGTGATAAGAGGTGAAAGAAGTCATTAGCAATTGACAAGGGATATGAGTTGTAGATTATTTAATCATATTTGGTCGGCCATGCAAGTAATAAAATGGGCTACAAATTGGCTAGGCTTAAGATTGTAGTTAGGGGTGGTTTGGGAGTGAGGTGCTTAAAAAAAAGCACCCATGAAAAAAAGCTGTGAGGATTTTAGGTGTTTGGTAAACTGAAAAAAAAAAGGCTTATTTTGGAAACTACTGTGAGAATAAGCTGAAATCAAAGGAAAAAGCTGAAGCTGCTATTTGCAGCTTTGAAAAACTGGCTTATTTTCAAAGCACACGGAACTACAGTGCTGCTTTAATGAAAAGACTCACTATCAGACTGCTTTTTTTTCCAAAAGTAATTTTACAAAAAAGTTTACCAAACACTCTGCCGATTTATTTCACAGCCGCTTATTCTCACAGCACAGCAATACCAAACCAGCCCTTAGTGTCCAACTTAATTAAAAGGTTAAACAATCTAAAATAAGTTCTATGTGACTCCCTGCAAAAATAACTAATAAATAATTCTAAAAGTATAGATTCTCACGACACACCCGCTGCCCTATCTTTTGAATGTGGATTGCGAGGATCTCAGGAATTTTCGTCAGGTACTTTTTGTGTTCAATTTTAAATAAAACAATTTAAATGATTTTTGACCACACGATGTACGAACACAATTAAAGAATCCTCAGGATCCTTTAATCATGTTCATTCATCGTACATTGTGCGGTCAATTTTCGTCAAGTACTTTTCGTGTTCAATTTTAAATAAAAAAATTAAAATGATTTCTGACCACACGATGTACAATGAACGGACATGATTAAAAAATTGTCGGGATCCTCACAAAGAGAATCCGGACAGGATCCTCATTCCTATCTTTTATTTTACAAATAACTAGAAGATGAGCACACACTCTGTGTGTGTGAACAATTTTATTTTATTTTTTGTTTTTGATTAAGGAGTGTGATTAGTGTGTGTGGACAATTTTATTTTATTTTTTGTTTTTGATTAAGGAGTGATTAGTTTTTAAAATTTAAAAAAAAAAGTATGAGACAATGATGATGAGACAGTTTCTCTTAATAAGGGCATTTTTTTAATGGAAAGGGATCCTCTCTAGATCCCTTCCTCCTAATCCACCAAAGTCCGGGGATCCGGGCTGTTGAAATTTGATTCAACTGCTACAAACAGGAGCTTAATTTAAAAGTTATAATAACTTAAGGGGAATGGATCCGGAGAGGATCCCTTTTCTTTTTTAATATTGGGTAAAATATGACAAATAGGGATATAATTATCATTTTCTCAAAAGGTACATAATTACTGTATTGTCCTTCTTATGTAAACATTGTGTATCAAAATGAGGGTAAAATAGAAAAAATAAGGATATAATTATCATTTTCTCAAAAAAAATGATATGGAGGGTTTTCTGAATAATAGTATAGACTAGCAACGGTGCCCCCGCGCGATGTTGCGGGTTTAAAATTGTAGATGTTCAAATCTATTACAACTGTTACCAATTTGAATGAGATGTACAAAGAATTTGTGCAAGCTGGACACATGGAATATCAATAGTGACATAATTTTTTCTTAAGACATTGGAAAAACTAAGTTAAAACTTGTAATCACACGACTCTTCAATCACATGACACAAAACACAACTACTGTTCACAAACATGTATTAGCCAAGAATGGAAAATCACCAACGATGAAATGTGGTAACAAATCAATAACCTCACTTATATAGCTTTAGGATTAACTATGCTAATTTGTTTATGTAAGTGATCTGTCTGCCCACATTTTTCCTTTTTTTTAGCAGACAATAGACATATTTTGTTTTTTTTAATGTGCGATGACATATAATACTGTAACAGAATGATGAAACAAAACAGGTTAATTTTTTAGCACAACATGGGTTAAAATTACCTACATTTTACATATGCAGATTAAGGGAAGTGGTGGCAAACCTTGTAATTTGTGCAAGTTGATCATCTGCAATATCAACAGTGACATAATTTGTTGTTAAGGCACTGGAAAAATTATATTAGAACCTGTAATTACATGACACTCGAATCACGTGATAGAAAACCACAGAGAATAGAAATTGAAAAAAAAGAAGTTGATAGAAATTGAAAAAAAAAAGAAGTTGAACACATTAAGTCTTCACAAAACTCCCAAGAATGAAAAATAAGCAAAAATACAGATTACCAATGAAGAAATGAGGAAACCTATCAGCAACCTAAATTGTACGCTCATTTTAAATAAGTATGATAGAGAGTTAACATTATAATCAAATTTGATGAGCCCAACTGGAGCAAATTGAATACTAACATTCAAAGTGGATTAAAAAGATGAGAATATGCTTTAAATAAGTATTAAGTCTGTATTTATGTGTAGTACAATTGTGTGGGATTAGAAATTGAATATACTATCTTATAACTGAATGATCATGCAAGGAAAATTACCGTGAGATTGTAAGGAGCATGGAAAAGTAATCTAAACAATTAACATTACTGATTAGTAGTTAACTTCTTAGCATTTTCATTGTAAAAATTAAATATAAGGGTGTAAAAAGATGGATCAGATTTAGTTGGTTTGGTAATTTTCCAAGTTATTTCAGTCTTCATCATTTGGAGGAATAACATCACTTCCATCTTTCAACTGTTACTAATTTATACACAGACTTTCTTCTTTTGACCTATTCTAAATGCATGATAATCACTTGACTATACACTGAGTGGTTTAAGATGGACATCCAAAAGTATAAACAGAGATGCTACCACCAAAGATGCACCCTCTCCACATGCTTTAGCCAAATAACACGTTAGGAGTGGGGTACTATTAAATCTAATTAATGAGTGATGGGAATGGTTTATGGATAGATTTAACAATTCCACCATTACTAAGGTGTTCTTTGGCTTAATTAAAGCTTGTGGAGAGGGTATATCTCTGGTGGGGACATCTATAGTCATACTTTTGGATGTCCAACTTAACCCCTTAGTGAGCAGGCAAGCAATTAGCCATGTATTGAGACCAGGTGAAAATAGGATAGTATGTATGTGTGTGTGTGTGTACATATATTGGTAGTGGTTAACTCCCCCAAAGAGAAACAATAGCAAACATTGAATTTAAACGCAAAATGCCAACGAAAGAAAACCAAGAAAATCTAAAAAATTTCCCATACCATTGGATCCTTGCGAAACCTATTTGTTGAAGCTGCAGCTTGGTTGTTGACTTTGTGATTTCTTCTCTCTTTTTTTAGTGTGTAATTGTTAGACAAAGCTTGTAACATCTTATTCCATACCTAGACACTAATCATACAAACTTCATTCATTAGAATATGACTGATCTTTCTGAAATTCCATGAATTGTAATTTTTAACCAAAAAATTTGACAGAGGTCAATATCACACTCTCAACCAAACATTAAAAAAGTGGAGGGACAAAACAAACAGGTTTTAGTCCTCACTATAGTTAAAATAGTTATGTTATTTGACAATTAAATAGCAGTGATAAGTATCATCTGGATTAAGAAAATTAGTCATTGAAGAATCTCCAAGAAATTATCAAAGTGGATTGAAATTTATAAAATTTTTATTAAAATAAACTAAAAAAAGTAATAGAAATCAAGCTAACCTGTGTTTGGTATATGGAAGATACTGGATCTCCTTTTGGCCTTTGTAAATGACATGTTGTTCATTGTGTACAAAGCTAAAAAAACACAGTAAAAATGTTAATCTAGGCCAGAAAAAGTATATATAGAGTGTATTATGTAAACATTTTCATATAGTAAGAATATTTAAAACAATTAATTGCAAAAAAATAAAATTTCAAAGATAAGTCAGAGAAATCTTTGAAGCAGAGAAATATAACAAAAGTTTTTCCAATTGTAGCCATGCATAAACCACTAAAAAAAGCCAAGTATATTGACATAGCTGGAATGCTAACCATAAGACATTAGGTTACGTGGATAAAAATGGATTCAAATAGAATTGAAAAAGGGTAGAAACAAATTTTTCGGATTGAAATTGACACATGTATAGCAAAGAACATTAAGTTTTAACTTTTAAGCATATCAACTCATGAAGCATCCCAACATATATATGGAAAAAGAATGATACAAATACCAGCATACACATGGAAAAGCAATTATTAACACAACTAACAAACATTTGTAAATTAAAAATTTTGCACTATTTAACAGCCCGACTCACCTTTCCCCTTTTTTTTCTCAATTTGACCAAGAACACTTTGCAGCTCATATAAAGTGCTTCCATACCAATCTGCAGCAAAAAGTGAAATTACAAATTAAACACACACAAAACAGTAAAAGTAAAGTATTTTTCTTTCCATTCAAAGCAATGCATAACTGAAAAAAGCATAATTGTAAAAAAGATTAAACTTTTTTTTTTCAAAGCATATACAGTCTAAAACCCAACGTTTATAAACAGTCGCATTTTTTTGTCAAAATTGTATTTGCTTTACCTCCATAAGTTTGATTTCTTTTCAGTGTTTTTTAGAGCTTGACGAAACCATGAAGAGACAAACAACAGCACTCAACTGTTTTTGCAACCCTGTAACCAGTTACACAAATAAGAATGCAGCATTTCTATTAAAGCATGTAATTCTCCTCTTCCTATATTCTTCCCCTTTCTCTAGCTAAATAAAAATTTCCAAAACTATGTACCAAAAGCTCAAAAGTGGGATTCAAAGAGTCAAAATGTTCAAATGCTATATTTTTATTAGGACTTCATAGTCTATTTAACACTTGGTTTCTCGAGTAGTAAGTTTCCCATTCTTTGTCTAGTTAATTTCACACGCCTACAACAAATAAAATAGTTGAATAATTTCAGTATAATTACCAAATTTTGACCATTCAACGCTGAATCTCCTTTTTTATGTACCTACTAAAGTACACATATGAATATCAAAACAAAAACCTCCAATTATCATAGCATTCCCTTTCTATCTTTATTTTTGAAAAAGAAAACACAAATGGAAGAAAAAATTCCACAATTTGAACTTGTAACTCATAACCACAGAGAGTCAAAAGCACTTCAATTATGTAAGAAGGGAAAGGGGGTGCAAATAAGTGATGCTCAATTGAAATCACTGCCTGGTTGTCAACTCTTTAGTGAGTTTATCCCAATCAGCAACACTTTAACACATCACCTTCCAAAAACTATGCATGTATACCACGGAATGAAAACACTTTATACTCCAACCAACTTAACCCAGATAACATATGAAGTCATCCAACAGTTGCAGGGGGGGAATGAAAACTGTATCTAATGGCACAACAACATAAAGTTATTTGTGGCAAATCTTACCATCATATGCGTCTCGAACCATTTGATATCTGACGAATCCTGAAAAAAAAAGTCAGCCGAAATCATGAAACCAAAAAATCAGAATGTTTACAGAGTATTCCTTGAAGCAAAAGCATGCGCGGGACATTCACTTAAAAAAATGAAAAGCTTTCAGTACCCAAATAGCTAAAAGCCGAGAACAAAAAAAAAACAGTACCTTTGCGGGTTTGGAGCTCTTTTCTTATAAATATTATAGTATTGGTGTGGCGCCTCAATTCGTGGTGTTTCCGTCGATAACAATCGAAGGTGGGGCAGCTGGTTTAGGTGAAGAAGAAGAGGAGGATCCAAACCTACAAACAGAATCACAAAAAACAAACATAAACACAAAACCCATCTGCAAACGATCGGATCGGAATCGAAACGAAAGAGATAGAGAGATCTAAACAAAGGCAAACGCAGACGGAGAGAGAGGAGAAAAGAAGAGGAAAGGGAAATGCCCAGATCAGAAAACCACCACAAAGAAAAAAAAGGCGGAAGTTGAGTAGAATACTCTCGAAGCGAATAGATCAACGATGAAAGACACGTGGCCAACATGGGTAAAAGAGACTTTCCACTGCACAAAAAAGGAATCAATGCTTTGAGCCATGAAAAAACAGAGGGCATTTCCGACCAAACACTGTTCACGAACAGTGAAAAACAGTACCGGGTAAACTGAGTTTTAGTATAGATAAAATATTCGCAATCTTTCACAGAAATATTATTGCAATATAAGATTAAGTGACATTAATAATTGCATAATTTTTTAAACTAATGATTCTTTCAAGCAACAACATTTGTTAGGTAGGTTTTTGGTTCCCCAGATGTGGTTTCCGGCATATTTGACTTGCAGGCACATGAGATCCCCTCTCAGAAGCCAACAAAACTCCCACTCTTCAGTACTCTCTACTCTGTATACTCACCTACACGGACAAAGCCTGCATTGAAAAAAGTTGATATTTCACCGTACAAATAATTGACAATATGAGAAATAACTCAATTTATTTACAAGTTTATGCAAAGTCTTTCCTCCCATCAACGTGAGATTCATTCTCAACAGGCTCTTCACGTAAGGCGAATTTTCAAGCCTAATACGTAGACAATGGAATGGGATAACGTGGAGCGCGTGCATGTGACCGTTGACTTCACAGTTTACACGTGGGATAACTTGCTCTGATACCGCGAAGAAAGTTGTTTCACCATAAAAATTAATTGGTAATATGAAGAGTAGCCAATTACTTATAACACATACAAATTCCTCATTTCTCTAAAGTGGTATTCGACTCTCAACACACCCCCTCACATGTGGTGAATTTTCAAACCTAACATGTCCCCAACGATTTAACTACTACTCAATTGTATATCATATTACAACTACAAGTCGTACTTTGCAAGCAACAAAAATCCATGGAGATTTTGTTTACCAAGTTCTTAATGGAATAGTTTACTTAATTATAGGCATATATGAGATAATCCAGCTTAGGGGTCAACAGTTGGCACGCGACCGGAGGATCGATCCTACCTCTCAGATAAGGCAACAAAAACATGTTTTAGCTTCGATTAAACTCCTCCTCATCACTCACTCCACAAACAAAGCATTTCACAAATCATGAATACCCTTTTCCTCACAGTTTTCCTTTTCCTCATCCCCATCTTGCTTCTCTTTGCAAGGAGAAAAAGATCACCAAAAAGGGTTCCTCCAGGCTCATTAGGATTACCCATAATCGGCCAAAGCCTCGGTCTTCTCCGAGCCATGCGTGCCAACACCGCCGAAAAATGGCTTCAACAAAGAATCGAAAAGTACGGCCCAGTTTCAAAGCTTAGTCTCTTTGGCAAACCAACGGTCTTCATTCATGGACCTGCTGCAAACAAGTTCATATTCGCCAGTGATGACAGCACCATTTCCAGTCAACAAGTTGAGTCTATCCGTCTACTTTTGGGTGACCGGAATATACTGGAGCTGAGCGGCGACGATCACAAGCGCGTCAGAAGTGCTCTTATGTTGTTCTTGAAGCCCGAGTCACTCAAGCAGTATGTGGGAAAGATGGACCAAGAAATCAGGAGACACCTTGAGATGCATTGGCATGGCAAGCAACAAATAACTGTACGCCCAAGTGGTGTTTGCAACAAAACTATTTTAAAAGACCAACTTTCGGTGAAGGAAAATGATTTCTGCACTCTACTTTTCACCTTCTGCATTCGTCTGTTTAATTGTGTCCCTTTATTCTCCAATAATTTCTTCAATCCAGTGACAAAGAAAAAAAGAGTTCAATACACACTTTATTGATCCATTTTCTCTGCCTCCTCTAGAACTTCTTCAATATTATTGCATTAGGCACCGTTTTCTCTTGTCATATTATGAATAAAATAAAAAATGAACTCGAATTTAGTAACAAACGAAGATCAATGTTAACTAACAAAGTTCTTCTGTTTGATAGGTCTTGCCCCTGATGAAAAACCTCACATTCAACATAATATGCTCCCTACTTTTTAGGCTTGAACGGGGAACTCGCAGAGATGAACTCTTGGAGTGTTTCCAAAAAATGATAGAAGGAATGTGGTCAGTCCCGGTTAAATTGCCCTTCACGCGTTACAGCCAGAGCCTCAAGGGAAGCAAGAGGGTCCAAGACATAATCAAGGAACTCATATCGGAAAAGAGGGTAGAACTTGAGCGAAAAACTGCTTCTCCCCTCCAAGACCTTATCACTTGCTTGCTTAGCAGTCGAAGTGATGACAATGGAGAGGTTATGACTGAAAAGGAGATCCTGCACAATGTTATGTTAGTGATGGTCGCAGGTCATGACACTTCATCTATTGTGCTTACTTTTCTATTGCGGCTTCTCGCTAATGACCCTGTTGTACACGCAACCGTTCTTCAAGGTGTGCATAGTGCCAAACAGGTTAAGGGTTTTTATTTACTTCTAGGCTGCTAGCATTAATTAGATTAATTATTAGAGGCAAGATTTTAAACTTTCCTTGAATTTTTGAGTAATAGAGCAAGAAGAAATAGCTAGAAGCAAATCCTCGGAAGAGTTGACATGGAAAGACCTTGCCAAGATGAAGTACACATGGAGAGTTGTTATGGAAACGATGAGAATAACTCCTCCTATCTTTGGTGGCTTCCGGAGTGCATTGAAAGACATCGAGTTTGATGGATTTCTCATCCCCAAAGGGTGGCAAGTATGTTCAGTTCACCTGCATAAATTAATAAGAAACTAATGAAAAAGGGCTTGAAAACTTTGAGTTTTAATGATAAGGACAAAATAAAGGGTAAAGTGAATAGTACCAGGATTGACTTTTTAGTGTAAAAATGTGGTTTTTCGTTAAAGTGAACAGTACCGGGAGCTTTTCGTTAAAGTTCCCTAAATTAATTAGTTATTGCATTTTCATTCTCTCATTGTCTTCCAAAAATATAGACCAGATGAAAATCCTAACATACAATATTTTCAGATATTCTGGGCTATGCCTATGACTCATATGGACGATAACATATTTCCGGAGCCATCCAAGTTTGATCCGAATAGGTTTGAGAACCAAGCATCAACTCCACCTTACAGCTTTGTTCCATTTGGAGGAGGACCTCGAAAATGTCCGGGATATGAGTTCGCCCGGATCGAAATCCTTGTTGCAATCCATTATATTGTAACTCAGTTCACATGGAAGCTATGTGCAGACAACAACTTCAGTAGAGATCCGATGCCAGTACCCACTCAAGGACTACCCATAAAAATCATCCCAAGAAAGCTTGTTAACTAATAAGAGTTGTTGGCCCATTCTCTAACAGGTTAAGACTTTGGACCCTGTTGTTATCCAATGGTGTTATCCAACTTAAATATTTATAATGCTTGTCTAGAATATTGCAAAAATAAAGGACCCATATCATGTCTTAGTAGTACAACTCTATTAGCCGTGAATGAACATTTGAAATATGTAAAATTCTACCACTTAATATATTTTGAGAAATTGTATGTTAACTTAAGCGACTGCTGGAACAAAAATTATCGGTTATGCAGCAAATAATGTTCTTAGGTAAAAGAAGATCAAGAAAATCTTGATTCAGCATAAGCAAGGAGAGAGGCCTTTGCCACGCCTGATTCGACTCACGATTTATTAGGTCTTCTTTGTCTACGCAAAGGATCTGGATTAGCTCATTCCCTCCTAAACTCATTCAGCATTTGGGGACCAAGAAAGTCCTCGGGATGCAATCGCCATGGAAATCAATCATCCAAGGACTGAAAGACTCAAAACTAGTCAAGAAGGCTTAACTAGAGCAATCACCCAAGAGAATAAAGGATTTTCGCTTTGGTTGAGAAGGGCAAACCATATTTGCTATAGGGAGTAGGAAGTACAAGTTAAAAACATTTGAGGTTAGTAGGAGTTTAAGATGCAGTGCAGTAAAAAAAAAGGTAGAATCAAGAGGGATAGGTTTTATTTCAAGAATAAATAAAATGGCAAGTGCACTCTTGCCATGACTTTGTATATGTACTAATTAACATCAATATAATTTTGTCTTCATACATTTTAGGTTCTAATTAAGTTTACATGGTGAAAAGATCAGTTGTCTTCATATATTTGACAGCACCGATGCGGATACCTGACATGAAGCTAATAATCTTAACAAACATAAGCTTTCATTAGTTTCTGATTAAACAAACAGAACAAACCCCACTTAGGATGAGGAATCGGTCAGACTTGTTTCCTTAGAATCCAGTGGGTTGGGGCCTGAACAAGCCCAACACATGTTTTCGGTCGAACACATTGTTCTGCATTGTAGTTTTGATTTTCTGATCCCTTTGCTCTGCAGTTTCTTGATTTGATTTCAATTTTATCGTCTCTCTTTTTAAGGCTACTGAAATCAAATTTTTAGTGCACTGTTTGATTCAAAATCATTTTCACATGGTTGTTGCTTCTTGTATCAATTTTTTGTTTTTCAAAACTGTTGTTTTGCATTTCACTTTAGAAATCTCAGCGTACGTTGAATCTGCATATTTCACATATCATACAAATCTGAGCATGTGTTGAATAGTGATGTATTTTATGTATAAATCCTAGTTAACTCTATGTATTTATTGATTATGAGCGTATCTCGAGATCATAGTGTAATAAATGCTTGATATAGGTCGATATTGTTTGATCTTGATATGGATGTTGATCAAATTTACTATATTTTTTTGTTGAGAATTATTGATTAAATTTACTATATTTGAATTTAGTTTCAGTTTCTTCTCGGCAAACTCATGAAAAAAGTGTACTTTTCGATCGATTTAATAATTAATTAGGGAATTTATTTCAATTTTCTTGAAGTCTAGGTTCCTTATATTGGGGATCAAATTTATTTGATTTTTTTCCTAATTTTATATTTTTCTTCTCTTATAATTAAATTCCTCCAAAATGAAGAAGAGTAAGACATTTTAGCAACCCATAATGCACTTGAATTGTCTCAAGAACAAGACATAAGCCTTTCACAAATCATGGATACCCTTCTCACAGTTTTCCTCTTCCTCATTCCCATCTTGCTTCTCCTTGCAACAAGAAAAAAAAAACAACAAAAAAGGTTCCTCCGGGCTCATTTGGACTCCCGTAATCAGCCAAAGCCTCGCTCTCCTCCGAGCAATGCGTGCCAACACCGCAGAAACATGGCTTCAACAAAGAATCGCAAAGTATGGTCCAGTTTCGAAGATGAGTCTCTTTGGAAGGCCAACAGTTTTCATCCATGCACAGGCTGCAAACAAGTTTCTATTCACCACAGGTGGAGCACCTTTCCAATCAACAAAATGACGAGTCCATTCATAAGATTTTGGGTGACCGGATATATTGGAGCTGAGTGGCAACGATCACAAGTGCATTAGAAACGCTCTTACATTGTTCTTGAAGCCTGATCAGTGAAGCAGTGTTTGGGAAAATGGACCAAGACATCAGGAAGCACCTTGAGATGCATGCGCATGGCAAGCAACAAATAACATTAAATTTAGTCCTATTAACAAATTTCTCAAGAGTCTTTCTCAATATACAATGAAAGTTTAAAAAAAAAAATAATTGATGAAGCTGAACTCAAATAAACAAACGAAAATCAATTCGAACTAAACAAGGTTTTCCGTCGTTTGATAGGTATTGCCCCTGATGAAGAACCTCACGTTCAACATAACGTGCTCTCTGCTTTTCGGGCTTGAACAAGGAACTCGCAGAGACAAACTCATGGAGTGTTTCGAAAAAATGATAGCAGGAAAGTGGTCAGTCCCCCCAGTTAACTTGCCCTTCACACCTTACAACCGTAGCATCAAGGAAAGCAAGAAGGTTCAACACATGATTAAGGAATTCATATCTGAAAAGAGGGCAGAACTCGAGCAAAAAAACGCTTCTCCTTTACGAGCCCTTGTCGCTTGCTGGCGTAACATCCGAAATGATGACAATGAAGAAGCTTTAACAGAAATGACAACTTGCACAATTTCATTCTAGTCATGTTCGCAGAGCATGACACTCCCATCCGTTGTGATAACTTTTCTTCTGCGGGCTCTAGCTAATGAACCTGCTGTTTATGCAGCCCTTCCTCAAGGTATATTTACATTTGCTGAAGAATGTAAAGTCCCGCATCGAAAAAACCTGAATTTCCACTATTAATTACGAGGTTTTTTGTATAAGACCCCACACATTGATGTTGATTAGTAGTGAGCCACTCAACGCCCTTCGAAACTTTGGCATGCATATCCCAAACAATCGTTTTTATAATTTTTTATCAAGCCAAGATTTTGAAATTTTCTTTCATAAAAGGCACTGATGCAATGCGACTGTTGAGATGCTTCATGGCATACTGCCATGGCATGCAAGAAGTGACAGTAAACTTTTTAAATCCTAGATGGTGTGTATGTAGCACAGAAAGGCAAAGAAAAACAAAGAGCACCACCACTGTAACATGGATTCGGAGCATTGGGAAATTATATGCGAAACGAGGGCATAACTGCAAGACCATTGCATGCATAGCATCATCAACCCCTGTCGCAACGAATTAGCGACTGAGAGAGATCTTGCACAAAGTCATCTGTTCTCATCAATAATGTTGTGGCACCCAATTACAGAGCTGTTCGGAATGACAATACGAAGCAAAAGAAAAAACACGTTCCGGAAAATGATGAAATGCAATACCCTTTCGCATACAATTGGCAAACTAACACCGCCTCCATTTGTACCCGACAGATGAACATATTTACAAGAAACGATAGGCGTAACAAATTTGTAAACGCAACAAATTGAAGACTTAGCAATTCCGTGGCCGGGAGTACTTGGGGGGCAGCGATGGGCACCTTTCGTTCATATGGGGGTACGGTTCCATAGTGTTGTATAAAGGTAATTCCATTCGATACTTCCCTTTAATTTGACAGAAAGGAAGCTTCACAGTGTCCCCATCATTGCACCACTTTGGCAGGCGGCTTGAATTATTTTCAAAGATATTGAGCATGTAAGCATCTTTTATCTGCATTAATGACAGAAAAAAGTTGATTAATACGAACCAACATGTAGATCAACTTCATTACAAGGTACCACAATCGAATGACTTTCTCAATTGAGAGCTACATTAACCTATTAGCAAGTAAAAACATTACTATTATATCAATTCATGTTGAAGAGGGAACAAAAGATATTCGTCATTCATCTCGTCCCTCCCTAGAACTATTATCAATTCTCCTCCTTCCCAGTCAGTGGATTAATTTTGGAGATGATGCAAAAAGATGGCCTCGTTATTCAAGGCAAACAGATTAAATTTTGTTCACGATAAACTCACCGTAAATTCAGTGACCTGGATAGAACCTGCAATTGGATCAAACAGTCCTGCCTCCTTATACATTTCAAGAATGAAGGCCACACACGATGTTGACTTCCCATCACTGTATACCCAATCATCCTGTTCGGGAATTGTCAGCAGTTGATCAAAAGAAGATCCACTCTTTTCAACTTCAACTAGAATATCGGAAAAACTGAGGTTCTGCATGAAATGCAAGGGGTACATCAGAAACTCAAATGGATATTAGCCACTCCACAATATTGACTAATTGCTTAACTTCAAACCAAAAATAAAAATCTTAACCAATTGATATTGCAATGCCAGGAAAAAGTTTAAAACACCTGTGTTCCAAGTCTCTTGTTCAATGCTTCATTCCACATGTTTGCAGCATATGCAGGCTGTATTCGATTCCAAACAGTCATAACAGAAGCCACCTGCATAATTATAGAGCTAATGATCAGGAAAAATGTTTAAGAAAACATCTTGAAGCTCACAGAAGCATCCACAAGCAGAGAGATAGAGAGAGAGAGAGAACCTAACTATGAACCTAAAAAGGCATTTCTTTCTACCCTTATCCCCATCACAGACCCCTTTTAGTCAGCTACGAAACAATCGTATTATATCTGCATCAGCACTTTGATATAAATACATCCGTACCCATCATGTTTATGAAAGTGGTTGTGGGAAAGCCAGTAGTTATTAATCATAAAGAGAAAGATTGGGGTAAAGCATCTAACAGTTGCCTTTTCACTTCCTCTATGGAATCCCAGGACTCAACCTAGACGGGTAATGGAAACCACCAAGTTCAATATAATCACTAAATAAGAAATAAATAATCATGCCAAAAGAAATACTAGGAGATTAGTTTCGATTCTAGCATTTACTAATACCGTAACGTAGCTTGATAATGAAATCTTAAATGCAGTTAAAATATGGTACCAGGTGAGCATCCAAAGGGGGTGGATAGTTGTCTTCTATAGTATCTATCCAGCTGAATATCATGTTATGATAACCATAAGGCTGGCCTTCCATGCTCCTTGCATACTCCCAGGCAGCAGTCTCATTAAACTTTGCTCGTATATCAGGATGCAAGGGAAGCAATGCAATATGGGGATTGGAATCATCTTTATTTAGCTCAAATTCCCACCACTCATCCCATGGCAGCACAGCAATAATATCTTCTCCCTACAACATGAA